AGGTGGATTCAGAACTCTGAGATAAATAGAAGTCCTTTCAGAGATTTCCAAGCGATTGCTGGGCCATCAGAGATATTCTATGGAAAGAACGCCACTCAGAGGTCTTTTATGGATAGAAAACTTCCATGAAACCTCTTGACTACAGAAGTCGTTTAGAAGTTATCTTGTGTATGGAAGCCCTACAAATGGTATGATATCTATAGAATACCATGCAGATATATATACGACCGAAACATTATCTTCTCGTATTTTTATTCCAGAAGACCTGCAGCTACTATCAAAGTGGTCCGACCATATGAGCCCAGAACTAATAAAAAATTCCGTAGGAGATCTAAAGAAGGTATTTTTAGAATGTATTCTATATATTCCATAAATAAGAGGGTATTTTAGCTTAAGATGACCCGAGTATAGTCTCCGAATAAATTATAAGGGTCCACTAGATGTAGACCTGAATAAATACTTCTGGATATATAAAGCCATAATAAAGTCCAAAATTTTTGAAAAATGTCTGCCAGCTATAAAGAACCTGCAGAACATTTTCTACCAACAGAATTGTCTTCTGAAGAGGCATTTGCTAAATGTAAGTCCGAATTTCTATCTATTGGAGGTGTTGTATCTGTAGAACTCCTGCAGAAAAAACTTCAGTCTATTGAAGATTTGTGGTCTTCAGGGTCATCATTTATCTGTAGAATTTATTCTGAAGAGGGTATTTTATCTCTAGAAAAATGTGGAAGACATGAGGAAGGTCTTCAATCCCTAGGTAAACAATAAAAGATCTCCCCTCATATATCACATAGAACGTCTTCTTCCCCTCAATACCAAATTCCAGAACCAAAAAAAACACCACTTAACTCAAATTTCTAGGAATTTCAATCATTTACCACAAAAACAAGCATTATTTTACATTTAAAATCCCAATAAGAGTAACTCCAACCATCCAACACAAAACAAAAAAAACCGCAAACTTGTTTTAGCCATAACAGGAGATGTTCACCGCAGAAACGAAACAAAAAACACAACCCACCGCCAACACCAACACCACTTTATCTCTCCGATTTTTTGCCAACAAAAATCCAAATCTGTGCTATTTTTCCCAGATTCTGTATTGAATACCAAAACAACTGATCTCACGATTCGATGCTCATAGCTTGCTTGCCTGCTGCAATGTCGAAGTGCATGTTGCATTTTGGTACGACCAAACGAAACGAACAACGAATGGCACTATACACGTTCCAGCCATCCATCTATCCATCCATGATGTAGAGAACAGAGCAACGAGTTGCATAGCTCGTGCCAAATATCCGCGTGTGCTAATGAACGTTGTCCATTATGGCTTTTTTTGCACACATCGACAATGTGGAGCTGCTGCTCAGACAATCTCTAAGCTAAAGCTTAAGCATCCAAACACAAGCAACCATTGCCATAGCCAGCCAACCAGCCAGGCAGTTAGTCCAACAGCCATTCAATTTGTATATGATTGTCTTTAGCACACAATAACTTCCAAAGTTTAAGACATAACCATTGCACACGTTCCTTAGTGGCAGCAGCAGCCACAACAGGCCAACTCGAGCCGGGCCAGGCCAGTCACTAACGGCGTGAGAGTCAAAACAACTGATGGTGCTTTGTGGCAAACATTACTATGTTCGCCTGCTTTGCTCAATGTGTGACTGTGTGTAGGTCGCACTTTGTGGCATGTGGATGCTGCCAACCAGCCAGTCAACCAGCAACAACACAACGGCAACAACAAAAACCAGTTTCAATTAAGTCAGCAATGTCGGCAACTACTACACACAATTCACATCAAATTATACGATGTTCTACTTAAGATCTGCAGTGCGGTGCCAGTGCAGTGACCAGTGCATCCAAAAGCATGGGAACTTTGTGTGGGCACCCAAAACGAAATGAACCTAATTTTCTTCTTTGGCTGAGATTCAGGGAAAACATCTTGTCAAAGATTAGTAAATTACCTCAAAATCTTGCTTCGTCTCGTTTCTGGGAATGGGTCATTCTAGTTATGTTGGAATTATTGATGGTTTTTAGTATTAATGATCCATTCCGCACACAACAAGTTCTACCGAAGTTGTAATGGGTTTGTGATAAATATGGAGGGGGAGCGGATGAAGTAACAAGTGAACTCCGTTAGTGAGGCTAATTTGAAGACCTCAGAACGGGACAACAAGAACAGATGCCCATTGGCTGAGATTTGTAATTGGTTACAAGAATTTCAGTCGAATTTTGACAATTAAACCTTCTAGTGGCCTATATTAATAGACAAATTGTCTATAGAGATACAACCTTATTGAGATATTCTATAGGTAGAATAATCACATGGGTCATCCAAAGACATGGGACGGACAAAAGTCTTTCTACCAACCACATAATTATTCAGAAGAACTTTAATAGGCCATCCGTGTATAGACAACTTTTATGTGTTTTCCTACACGATCCTCCCTAGAGATCGTCTATGGCGGACACCCTATAAATATTTACTTACTTAGCTGATTTGTTATAGATCGGTTGTTCCATAAGCCGATCTTAAAAATTTGAAAGATCCGAGATGTTGTCTTCTACTTGATTTTTCCGTGGACTTCCCCTTCTGCGTGAACCATCACTTGGCTTGCATTTATATACCTTTTAAGCGGGGAATCCTCATACATTCTCACAACATGACCTAGCCAACGTAGTCGCTGCAGCTCGATCTGACTATGTCGATGTCCGAGAATAGATGGTATAGCTCATGGTTTCTTCGACGACGACATTCACCGTCGACACAGATCGGTCCATAGATCATCCGAAGAATTTTTCTTTCAAACACTCCAAGAGCTGTCTCATCTGCTTGCGCAAGTACCCATGCTTCAGATCCATACACTAGCTCTGGTAGTATCTGCGTCTTGTAGAGCGTGAGTTTGGTTTGGCGAGATGTGTCCTTGCTTTCGAGTTGCATACACAGACCATATAGCATATGTTGGCAAACACTATTCTCTTTCGAATTTTAAAGCTGATGTTATTAGTTTTGTTTATGGCGGTACCGAGGTATATAAAATTGTTCGCTATCTCGAAGCTGTATTTTTCAAGTTTTACAGTTGATCCAAAAGTCTACTGGACGTCTTCCGCGTCAATACCATGAGCTCGGTCTTCTCGCCATTTACTGGCAGGCCCACTTTGGCAGGTCGCTGTTACCTCTAGCAATATTAGAACCATTATGTCAATGTCGTCGGCGTAGGCAATTAACATGTGTTGTTTGGTGTAAAGAGTGACCTTTCCAGCAGGATGTTAAAAAGGTCACACGAGATGCTGTCACCTTGCCTGAACCCTTGTTCGGTATTGAAGGACTCCGAGAGTTACTTTCCTACCTTGTGCCACACAAAGTTATCCTACATTTTATCCCTATAACGCCCCATATAATACAACCTTCAAGTAGCCTCCTATACTGATATTTGGCAGACCACCTACAAGTCTTCTGTAGACAAAATACCTTATAAGAAATTATCTACACGGATGACTTTCTGAAGGTCCCTTATTGTTTAAGGGTCGTCGGTGTATTGAAGACCTTCTGTTACGTACAGGCCTTAAATATGGCACATGAGGTTCTGCACTTCTTATCTACATAAACAACTTCTCCAAGCTATCTTCACTAAAAATCCCTTTAAACAGGGTAGCTTCCCAGAAGCCTTCTAGAGGCAGAAGACGTTAACAGGTCTTTCATATACAGAACACCTTCTACAGGTCTATTAAAGGAAAAGGACATTTTAGAAGTCATCTGGAGAATATTGTTCTCAACAGAGTTTCCATAGAACTTCTGTATACAGGAGCATTAGATCTCAATCTCTGGTATAACTACCAGGAAGACTTTCTGGAGAATTTCTTTAGGAGGACACGCTTTTTAAAGTGCTCTTTAGAACCTACATTTTATATTAGATAGATATAAAATGTAGAGAGAAGGTTTTTAAGGCCGTCTATTCTACCTTTTAATAAAATACTTCCGAAATATCCCAAAAGGCTTTATGATATTTCCAATTATCAAAATCGTGTCAATTTCGAAATAGAATGACGAGGATCTATGTCGAGTGAAGAATGTCATACTTTCTCTTCTAATAAACTATCTGAATATTTTACTTATTTAAAGGTTCTCCTTATAAAACCAAAATGTATATCCTTATTATTTTCAACCTATCCTTTCTGCAGAAGACTTTTCTAAGTGTTTCTCTTTGGATGACCTCTCAAAGGGTTTCTTTCTCTATAAGAACTCTCAAAGTATTTTTTTAATATATCAAAACAATCTTTATAGCCACCGAAAGTCTTGCGCCATAATCACGACATTCGATTTTGGCTACATGCTGACCTTAGGCCAGACTTGTGTTAAACACACGATCGTTCAAACCCTAACTGCATCCTCCTAAAAGTGTGATTTGTTTTTTATGAAAGGATTTCCATCATCATCATCATCCTCGTCTTCATTAAACACTTTGATTCACCTGATTGTGCGCAGTAAGTAGGAAACATTACACACACAGAAAAAAATTTTCTCACGTGTCTCATTTCTTCTTTTGGCCTTCAAAATATCGTGAGAAAATATTCTTAATTGTGTCTCCTTGCGACACAATTCTTATTATTATCATGAAACAATTACTTCACAATGACGGGCACACATCCTGACACCAACAAAAAATTAAGAGACTGAATAAAAACAACAACAACCTTATGCTTGGGCTAAATTTATGGCAACCAGCTGTTTCTTATTTTGTGTCTTCGCCCCTAATTTTAAAGTGTTGGGTTCCCACGCTCCTACACACAGCGCACAAACAGGAGAGTCGATGGAAAAAAACACCCCCTAAATGAAAAAAGATAGGGACCTGCATATCCTTATCGTTTCTTCGCCTTTTCTAGAACACGCTTCAGCTAAGGGGTATATAAGCCGAAGGATAACAAGAATGCCATATCATTCTCCAACAAACCTTCGTGCGCTTAAGAACTAGAAGAGCAAAAAATATTTCACCAAAATGTGTGTAGAAATCAAGAAAGTCGAATCGTCCAATAAGAAAAAGATGTCCTACAGCATCAAGAAGTTGTTGAAACAAATTGTCAAACATTACAAAATGCAGAAATTTTCACAATCGCAAGTGGAGCAGCAGAACACCAAGAGGAGAGCAGAATCTTTGGAATCAGTCGAGTCTTTGGATAACAATAATAATGCCAATATTGAAATCGATTGCAAATCCTCCATGGAATCGCTGCAAAATAATCAAAATGAACGTATCTCATTTGAAAATGAACAGTCCGCTGAACCTATCATCTCCTATGAATCTGAGCAATCATCATCACTTCCCGATGCTGGTGCCTATGAATTCAGTGATATCAGTATTGGTGTCTTGCCCGTACATTTCATCACCACCGATGAGGGTATCTTCTTTTGGACTGCCTCCTCGGATATACCAGCCGATAATGATTTGGAAGAAGCTTTAAATTGTCATTCGGAAAATCAACTAGCCTGCATGCAGCAACAAGATCGTTGGGCCCAAGCTTGAAAATAATCTCAAGTGATTTTTCCAGTTTTTAGTTGAATCGAAATGTCTTCCAAAACATTAGCTTTACTTTATTGTGATATTTTTTAGTTGTTTATTATTTTTTTACTTTTAATTTTTTATATAACAAATTATCAAAGAAAACTAGAAAAATATAAGAAAAGAAAAATTACAAAAAAGAAAAAATTTTATTGTCTTTCACTGGGAAAACTTTGGATTTTTAGGGCAAGGGTGGTATGTTTGACAAACCCTCCTTGAAAAATGTCCTAGAACTAGTCTGCATTGTGTGAAATTCCTTTAGGTTTTGATATCCTTCGATATCTCTTTGAGTGAGAATATCATCCCTGCTTGGCCTTGTAGTGAAATGTGGTTCAATGCTGAACTAAATACACCTGATTATTTGAACTCTATTCATGATAGTTTTAAAAATGGGAAGAAGTGAATCTTCAAATTCTAGAAACATTCACATCTAGAGAACTAGAGCCTAGATGAATATTTTGTTTGACTATCAAAAGTTCTCGAAATAATTTTAAACCAAAAAATTCCGTGGCAATAACAAGAACGCATATAACAAACGGACATTACCCCAAGGGTCATCAGGAAACGTCAAGAACTCGATCGACTTCCAATGACACGGTTAGCAAATACACCCACCACTACATAACTACGATGATGAGTTGTTACGATGAGACGATAGATGGCGCAAATGTAGTACCCTACGAAACATAGGAAAATTAATTTAGAATCTAACTTTAAAGTCTTAGAAGATCACAACAATAGATAATCATAAGGCAATCCCTTTTTTAGGGTTAGTGGGGATAGAGTAATGTATAAGTAAATTACCTCTATATAATTTTTTTCTTTTAAAAATTTACGCTTGAGGCCCATCGGACATTTATTTTAAAAATTTAGACTTGGAGACCATTCAATTTCATTTTCTTTATTTTTTCATGATTGGGAGCCTAGGCACAAGGCCATCATCGGTTCCAAAAACCACTACACATCTACTACTCCAAACCTTCGTACATTTTTTCTTTTAAAAATCTACACTCATAGGATCTTCGGACATTTTTCCTTTAAAAAATCTACGCTAACTGGACCAACTTCAGAATTTTTTTCTTTTGAAAATCTACGCTAACTGGACGTACAGTTAGGTTCGAAAAAAATTTACGCTCAATGGACCACCTTCAGAATTTTTTTCGTTTAAAAATTTACGCTCACTGGACCGCCCTCAGAATTTTTTTCTTTTAAAAATCAAAAAACATTTTTTCATTTAAAAATCTACACTCACTGGACCTTCAGAAGTTTTTCCGATAAAAATCTACGCACTCTGGACTACCTTCAGAAGTTTTTCCGATAAAAATCTACGCACTCTGGACTACCTTCAGAAGTTTTTTCTTTTAAAAATCTACGCACACCAGACCACCTTCAGAATTTTTTTTCTTTTAAAAATCTACGCACACCGGACCACCTTCAGATTTTTTTTTCTTTTAAAAATCCACGCACACCGGACTACCTTCAGAATTTTTTTTTTAAATCTACGCACACTGCACCTTCAGAATTTTTTTTAAATCTGCGCACACTGCACCTTCAGACATTTTTTCTTTTAAAAATCTACGCACACTGGAACTTCAGACATTTTTTCTTTTAAAAATCTACGCTCCCTGGACCATCTTCGAAATATTTTTTTTTTTAAATCTTCGCTTGGAGACCCTTCGGAAATTTTTTCTTTTAAAAATATACACTCACTGAACCATCTTCGATTTTTTTTTCTATTAAAAATCTACGATCACTGGACCTTCGTTTAAAAATCTACGATCATTGGACCTTCAGAATTTTTTTATTTTAAAAATCTACACTCAATGGACCTTCGGACATATTCGATTTTAAAAATCTACGCTCACTACACATTCTGAAAAAAATATTCTTTAAAAAATCTACGCTCACTGGACCTTCGGAAAATTCACTATTAAAAAAAAAATCTACGGTATGAAAGACTTAACAAAATTCTTTAAATTTCTTTAAAAATATTTATCTGAGGACACCTTATATTTTTTAATGAATACCTTTTCCAAGGTCTATCAAAGTATTCATTTCCCCTAACGATACTTAAAAAAAAATATTTTTTGAAACAAAAGTTCTGTTGTTTCTCGAGAAAAAATCTTCTTCTGTTGGCTTATAAATTAAATCTTCTTTAAAAATTCCTCCATGTGTTGATACTTGAAAAATATGTAAATATAAAAAGTATTTCTAAATCGCCCCCATTCTTCTTTACAAAAAATGAAAAACCAGTAATATAAAACGTTTAATATTATTTCTCGTTGTGTTGAATTACAAATTTGAGATGTGTAAATTTAGAAATAGTTTCGGTTTTTTTATTTTAATTTATTTGTTTATTTCTACACCATCCGCAGAGAGACCCCACCGATAGTCTATCATGACAATATTTATGCGAATAAAGTCATACTTTTTATGCAAGAATATTCCGTTTTTTTTCTCTGTTCGCGAACCATTACTCATTCATATTTATGGTTCGGACTGAGGACAGCAACCACAACAACAACAACAAAAATGAAACGAAACATGTGCTGTGATCCAAAACTAATTTTACGCTGGCTATCATTATCAACGTCATCTACGGCGATGTCGTCGTCAACGTCAACACTGCCAACAGCAGCGCCAGTACCACCATCATCATCATTGTCCTCCTCATCATCATTGTGATTTTTTTATTTATCAGGAGTTGTGCGAGAGGAAGGAGGCGAGTCAAGCTTAAACTTATCCACCACCGATTTTAAAATAATACATCAATCGTAAGCCCAAAGTCTGTTTACATTCTCACATGAGTATCGCATGGTGTAGGATGGACAGCCGAGGAAAAGGAGGAGGACGACTAGTGCTGGACCGCTTGAAGACACATTCCGTTTTAGTTACAAGTAAAACTACAATCACAACAACGATGATTATGATGATGATAAGTGCCACCAGGCCAGGCTGCCGGTCCAGTCCGTAATGGACATTAACAGACAAAATTATTTTACATAAAATCCAGTTATTTCATTGAATGTAATGTTGAGTCAAGGATATATGAAGCAGGATCCAGAGAAAGGATTTCTTAAAAAAAATATTTTTTAAAATATTATTTGTACCAAGACGGTAATTTTTCAAACAATTTTTTTAAAGTATATTTTTCCAAGGTTACCAAGGCATGGATTTGTTAAAGAATACTTTTTCCAAGGTAAGAAAATTTGTTCCGAGGTCTATCAAGTCATGTACTTTTTTAAAGAACATTTTTTCCAAGGTAAATTCAAGTGCCGATTTTTATAAGAAAATTTATTCCGAGGTCTATCAAGTCGTTGACTTTTTTTAAAGAAGAATTGTCAAGAAAGTCAATCAAGTCGTGGACTTTTTTAAAGAAGAATTTCCAAGGTTTATCCGATGTAAGCTTCGGATCCAACAAAGTCGGATGGTGTGTGGCTGGAAAAATCATCTATAGGTAAATAATCTAAACATAGAGAAACTATAATTTTACAAGAACCGACACTGATCGGACCCTTTCACTTTGAGAGGATTTCCTTGTTCACCCTTCGATTTATAGTTCTACTACAATTGCAAGTCTTTAAGAATCGGATTGCCTATTAAACCGTTTCTTCGGAAGATCGCGCATAAAGTCTTACACCGAATTGAAAAATCTCTCGAAATTTTCCTTTATCTATCTAATGCGATTAATGACAAACTTAAATAACATGTCAAATCCCATATTCGACTATGACGACAATATCAATTTCACCAGCCATCAAATTGACTAAACCATTATATCACTCACACACTCGGCCACTGATTTAATAGGGCCCCGATTGTGTGCCCATGACTCACTCTCACAACAGCCATTCAGCCATCAAAGAAGACATAAAAACAATCATTACATTCATTGCCATTTCTGAGGGGACCCCTCCGCCAGCCATCCATCCATTCCGTGTCAGTCGTTGGGTCTGTTGTAAACAGTATTTTTTATTTGTTGTCACTGCTGCTGCGGCTGCCGCAGTTACTGTTGCTTCAGCCAGCCACTGTTGTTGTTTTGAGTAATCCATTGGATCGCATCGCATCACATCGCAATTCATCCATCCGTCTATCGTGTGGGAAACACACGACAAATCTGTTTCCCACGGTCTTGTATATTGCGTACTTAGTTACGGAGAAAAAACAACAACGATAAAAAAACACAACCAGCGATTCACAAAAAAGCGAAAGAGGCACAAAAAAGAAACTACAGACACAGCAACAACAACAAAATCACCAGCAACGAAATGACGGCAGCCACAGAGAACTGTCATCATTGACAATAAACAAGACATGCCCAGGCAGGCAGCATGGCAAGCCAAGCGCACTCTACTCCATGCTCTGACAATGAGCCACCACAGTCAACCATCCAGCGATCGAGCGAACGAGCTTAGAGTGTGTTTAGTATCTGACAAGAGAAAGAGAGCATAGCGGACAGGGTCTCTGATAAGCATTGGCCAAACACAACCAATGAACCAACTGTTGTATTGGAATCCCAATTGTTTCAGTGTTAGAGATGCCGATGCATAGCGGAGGATGAAGGAATGTTTTGTTGGATTGGACGATGGATATTTGTATAGCTAACCTGTTACGTTTTCATCCCCTATAAATAAAATATACCCCTTAAATACCAATACAATCTGAAGGAATGCATGTTGTATTGGTATTTCAAGTAGTTCAATTTTAAAAGGTCTAAGTTTAACCCTTTTAATAAAAAAAATAGTCCAATATCCTCTTCGTAATTTTGGATGTTTGAAAAGACATCTTCATATTCTAAATCTGGGATCTAGTGTTCCTCGAATACCATAACAGAGGAGGATCAAAATTAAAAATAATTCAATAGGTAAAGAGGTGATATTCCTTAAGGCAGGAAAATGTACAATAATATTCCATGAAGCTCTGATAAAGATCTAAATTAAATATAACATAAATGGGGCAGGTTTTTAATATATTAGAGCACTAACCAGGAAGACGTACGTTTTATTTTTTGGAAGAACATTTCTGATGCGTTTGGAGATGGTAATATAATATCATAGTCCTAGAATCACAGAATTTCGGAGGGTCAAGAGCACAAATCGGTAGGATGCCAAGAATATCGGCCTAGAAAAAATAAGGGTTCCCCGATATTTAATACGAGGTATCGATGCATTTCATTAACATGGGAAATGTTCATATTGGGGCACTAGGGATATTGGATCCGAAGTTACGACGATGAGAATGTGTTGAACCTCTTACATTTATAAGATATATAATATCATTATTTTATAGAAAAAAAAAATATGTTTTTACAATTTTTAGAGCGTATATTTATTAACAAGATTTTAGACCTATAATGTCTTTCAGAGATTATTGCGTCGAATCTAAATTTCTAAACAACATTCCGATAACCTTCTTAGTCGTGTTATGCTAAAGGAGGTCGGACTTGAAAATCAATAATTGATTGAACGATGGATCAACTAAGGATGGGTGAACTCAAGAACTTCGCACCAAAAGCAGCTGGTCCTGAAAGAAAATCTGTCATATGTATATCGAAGTTGTACATATAAAGGGAAAACATTTCATAAAAAGCTGCTTTTAGAAGACAATCCATGAATTGGACTCTTCTGCAGCTGACAGAAATAGTTTCGTTCCTGAAGCGGTTTGATCATTATCGGTTCACTCCAAAAAAGGAACTAGATAATTCTATAATTTGATTTAGTTCATCTGAACTAGATTTTATTAGATTTCAAAGGTATATAGGTATTTATAGGGGAAGAAAATTCAACACGTTAGCTGTACAAATATTTTCCCATACACCCCAGTTCATTCAAATGAACGATTGGATAAAAGGAACTAGGTGAGCGTGATCTAAAAGGAACAGCTAGAGCAAAATGAACTACATGAACGCGTAGGGACCGGAGCTAGTATCGATTTTTCCTGGTTCGGAAGAGTTCATTTGAACTAGATCGTTCCGGAAATACATAAAAGCGACAGAAGTTCATATTGCAATTTTTTACAGTATCGTAAGCAATAAGTATTTTTCGTCTTCAAAATTTAACTAACCTAACCTCTTTTTGTTCCATCAATTCCCAGGAGTTGAAATTCTACCAACGGCATCTCTATTTTTTTTTGTTTTTCTAAAATGGATATTCTCTTATTGGCACAAGCGTAGCATTTGCCAATGCCCAAAGTGCAGTGCACACAGTTGATGATCTTGGTGGTGGTGCCGATGATGATGACGATGGTGGTGATCGGTAGCAATGGGACTTCAATAAAGTGGTTGTTTTTATTAACACAAGAAAAAAAAACACATAAGAGAGGCGAGAATGTTCGTACAGGGTTGCCATGACATAAAGATTTGATTGCTTCTAAGGGGATTTGACGAAAAATACCAGAAGAATAGAAGATTTTGAATACGAATTAGAGATCAAAGATTCAGATTCGTTCAGAAGGACTTCAAAGGATATTACTTATAGATCAAAAACCTATCTATGGCATATAGCGGGATGACTTTTCAAAAGGTATTAGAAGTCAGGAGCTTATATTTTCTATACACCCAGACATTGTTTGTGAAAATAGTATTACAAGATCGATAAATCGAATGTTTTTAAATGGGATTCTATACGAGGACTCTATCTCACAAGTTATTTACAGTTCAGTACTTTTAAATATATTATTTTAGGAAAAAAAATCCTGCATACCACAAGATCCGAAATCATTCGTATGATCTTCTACGTTCTATATGGTATGGATATTTAGAGAGCATATTACTTCTGAATTGTTTTTCTCAAACTACCATCCGTAGATTTTTTCTCAAACTACCATCCGAGATTTTTTCAAGATAGATAACATTAGGAACAATCATCTGAAACCTCCCAAGATGTATCTAAACAGAAACCATTGCGTCATCACAACAGGATGTTGTCGATGCAATATCTGTTTGGGTTTTACAGATCTGGAGAGGGAGGTTCAGTAAGCCTCTGGATCTACAGGCCCATCAAGAAGAATTGAATTGTATTTACACGAATGCATGCTGTGCTAGCATAGATAGGGGCGCAAGTAGATGAGACAGCTCTTGGAGTGTTTTAGAGAAAATTATTCGGTAGATCTATAAGCCGATCTGCGTCGACGGTGAATATCGTCGTCGAATGAACTATGAGTTGTACCATTTATTGTCGGATATTGACATAGTCAGGCGTATAGAGCTGCAGGGGCTACGTTGGCTAGGTCATGTTGTGAGAATGGATGAGGATGCCCCAGCTCAAAAGGCATACAAAATCGAGCCTACTGATGGTTCACGCAGAAAGGGAAGGTCACGAATCTGATGTAAAGATCAAGTAGAAGGCAACATCTCGGAAAATGGTCTTTCAATTTGGATAAGATGCGCACAAGACATATCTTTTTTAAGCTCGGCGTATAGAACTACCGTTCTGTCATAAACCAGCTAAGTAAGTAAGTAAATCTTGTTTTTAAAATCCAAAGTGTAATGGAATTTCTGTGTAAATATATAAATCTCGGTATTGAATATTGAGAGGCCTTTCGTGATTTCATCAGACGGACTATATGGGTATATCACATTAGGTTAATCAGGAATATTCCATAGTTATTACAAGGTAAAATACGGTCCACAGTGTAAAAGAGCGTAACAAATCTTCTTCTGGGAAGAGAAAACCTTTTTTTGAAATGGAAGGCAGCCAGGATACCTCCTATAGGATTTTCATAAACCGGTGTGTTTTGAATAAATATTCTGTCCTGTATGAAGTTCTTTTAAAGGATCTGATTGCCAAGGTATCTTTTGTGGATTCCCGTGCTAGAAAATTGTAATTAACTCCCCAATATAAAGTTCATTTCAAAATTCCTTCAAACTTCCCCACTTTAAAAATCATACCAATTGCCATGGAATAACCCTACAACAGGTTGATTACTGCCATTGAGATCATTTCCCATGTCAGCTTATTTCACACACACAACATTCTCTCATTACCGCCCTCCGACACTACCGCAAATACTTCTGAGTGCCCCCTCCTCCTTCCTCTCTCCCTCTATAAACAATTCATAACATTCCCGCATTCAACAGGCCTCAGAACAACGATCAATGGCTGTGTTGTGTTTTGTGGAGTGAGCCACCCCTATCCCAGTGGCCCATGCATGATATGAGTGTGAGAACGAACCAAGCGGCAACTCTAGTGAGATCGCTGTCGTTCGTTCGTTACCAATGGGAACAACACATGAATCTTTTGTATGTTACGGTTCGCTTAATACATTTAAAAGCAACCAATCCGCCAGACATACGGACGGACCGCAGGCATACGAATAGCTTATTGCAAGCACAGCAGAACGAGCGAACCACCACCATTATCATCATCAGCAGCAACACCACCGACAACCACACTCTGTGGACAACTAAGCATGTGAACCAACTGAAAAAATAACACAAAACATCATCGATTCCGGCACACAGACATAGACACACACACTCAGAACAGGAGGAGGGAGAACGAATGAATATCGCATCGAAAGCATAAATAAGTCGGATTCATGTATATAAACAAAACGCTAGCCAAGATTAGGTCTCATTTCTAAAACTACACTCGAGCTTGAAACAACAGCAAGCGGCAAGTCAGTCAAACGTGCAGCGCATACCAAAGTACAGTGGAAATACGTGAAACGTTGTCGTCACCACCACCAGATAGATTAGGAGGGAAAATCTCAAGCAAAATTTTCCGCAAATAAACCAAGACTCAAGACAAACCACCAATTGGATATATCGAATTTTTCGCTAAGACAGCTTGGATTACCGCATTGTGATTATGGTCATGGAAATGTCCAAAACCTATCAGTATCGTAAGGTTATGAAACCCTTACTGGAACGTAAGCGACGAGCCCGCATCAACAAGTGTCTGGACGATCTGAAGGATTTAATGGTCGAGTGTCTAACACAGGAGGGCGAACATGTTACGCGCCTCGAGAAGGCCGATATTTTGGAACTGACCGTGGAGCATATGCGCAAATTGAAACAACGTGGCAATTTGGCTGTGCGCAGTTCAACCCTAAATGCCCACGTGGAGTCCTTTCGTTCAGGATATGTTCATGCCGCCGATCAAATATCTCAAGTTTTGCTGCAACAATATTTCGATGATGATGTCCGCAGTAAATTGATGAAATTCCTATCCACGCGGTTGCTGGATATGCAACACAGTTTGGGATTACAAAGTGCGGCGGCAGCAGTAGCAGTGCCACCTCCACCATCTTCCTTAGTTCCTGATATCACCACCGCCACCAATACCTACAATATGCAAAAGTCCTTTTGTGATTCCTTGCAAACTGTCAACCCAACGAGAGCATTGGAACCATTTTCGCAATTCCCCAGAGGAATTTCGTCTAACCTAAATCCATTGCCCAGTCGTGATGCGAAGGATACCAGTGATATGATTGACATCATTACCGTGGATAATTCAATGGACTCATCGGTGTCGAATAGTTCGAATAACTCTGATTCTGTATGGCGGCCCTGGCAATTGGGTTCCAAAGAAATGTGTTAAATAATAACTACTACTACCCTACAAACCAACTAACCGTAACGTTTATTTTGTAAGCGACGGCAACAACAACAACAAGATCCTCAGTCTTCCAAAACTAGACAATGTTAAGGCAAAATTAACAGAACTAAAAACTGCAAGGATTCAACAATTTGTGTAAATATTAAAGTGTAATCGAGAGAAGGAGAATTAGAAGTTTAACTGTGATATACAACTACTACTATTATTATGTTATATAATTATTTATTAAATTTATGGAATGTTCCACCACCCACCAGCCAAAGCACCCTGTGTGAGGTTAAGAATATTTAATCAAAATGTTCTATAAGAAAAATGAAAAACTAAAAAGAATATTCCAAAAACTTATTTAAGCTTTATTATTGAATAAATAAAATCTATTTAAGAATTAAAATTATATGCCGGTATTTGTGTCAATGGGCGGAATTTTAACAGAGGAAAGAACAGATTTTTTTCAAGGACTAACAAAGTGTGTATTTTTTATTTATTTCCAAAGATCAGTACAAAAATTTGGATTTATTTTCAAGTTCTATAAGCGTTATTGTAATAAATAACATTTTTCCAAGAGCTTTCAGAGCTTTAATCGTGTATTTAAAAAAAAATGTTTGAAGGACATTCACGACTATAAGAGTGGATTTGTAAACAATTGTTTGGAGGACTTTCAGAATTCAGAGCTATAACATGTGATTTTGAAATAATTTCTTGTAGGTCTATCATAGTTGATTTATAGAGACTGTGTTTAAAGGATTTCCAGAACCAAGGCTTTGCTTTAAACACAATTGTTTTTGAGGGCTTTCATCTCTAAACCAGATTTTTTAAAGAATTGTTAGTAGATCTTTCAGAAATATAAACGTGAGCTTTTAAGAGTTTTTAATGGGCTTTCCAAAGTGGGACTTGAGAACTACAGCTTCGAGGTAGTCAAAGATTGTATATACCTTGGTACCACCATAATTAAAACTACTGACATCAGTTTTGAAATTCGGAGGAGAATAGTGTTGGCCAACAGATGGTCTTAGAAAGCAATTTAGAAACAAGGTCACCCCTTTTGAATGGGGGAATCCTTGCTGCAGCTCCATACGTCTGACTATGTCGATGTCCGAGAATATCACCGTCGATGCAGGTCGGCCCAAAAATCTGTCGGAGAAATTTTCTTTCAAACACTCTAAGAGATGCCTCATCTTTTTCCGCAAGTACCCATGCTTCAGATCAATACAACAGCACAGGTAATATCAGCGTCTTGTAGAGTGTGAATTTGGTCTGGCGAGAGGTGGCCTTGCTTTTGAGTTGCTTACTCAGGCCATAGTAGCATCTGTTGGCCAACACAATTTTCCTCCGAAGGACTATCATGCCATTAGGGCGTGGTGTTTTTAAAGGGCCCAAAGTATTAAGGTATTCAAAAAGTGTGGACCAATAGGATACATATTCGGAAATAATCTAAATGTACTTAGAATAGTTAGGGATTATCCGATTCCATATGCTGTTTGGTGTACAGCTGGATGTCACCTTGTCTTCGTTCAATATTTTAAGGGCTCTGAGAGGTCCTTTCCGAAAGCGGCTTTATAGTCGACGAATAGGTGGAATGTTTCGATGTGTTTTTCGTGGGTCTTTTCCGGGATCTGGCGCAGAGTGAATATCTGGTCAAATGTGGATTTGCCAAGTCTGAATCCGCATTGGTATGGTCCAATAATGTCCTTGATCATTGACGTCAGTCGTTCACACAGCACGCTGGATAGCACTTTATATGCGACGGGAAGCAGACTAATTCCTCTATAGTTGGCACATATCGTATTGTATCCTTTTTTGTGTACGGGACACAGGGTGCTGAGGTTCCAATCATTCCTCTAGCCAAATTGTACTAATCAGCTGGTGCATGCTGCTGACCACATGTCTTGAATAGATCAGCTGGTAATCCATCGGCACCTGTTGCTTCATGTTCTTCAGCCGATTAATTGTTACTCTGACCTCATCTTGAAGCTTTGATGCCAGAAGCTTTTCAAAATGCTCCTTCCAGATCCTCAACACGTTATCTGTACCTTTCAACAGGTTTTTATCTTTATCTCTACAGGAGGATATACCTGCGCCAAAGCCTTCGGTTTGGTGTTTTACCCGTTGGTAAAATTTCCGGACTCCGTTCTAGCTCCTGTACATCTTGATTTGCACCTGCTCACGTTTTCCCGTTATTTCTTCTTTTTTCTGAAAATACGTTGCTCCTCTCTCCTTTTCTCCATTGCATTATGTGTTGCTACTGTCAAAAGTCAACGATTTTGTATTGAAAATTTCCCGACAGTTCCCGACAGAACGATTTAAAATAATATAATTTAAAGGATAAGCAGATGGTATTTTTTTTTTAAGAAATTTAGTTCCAAGGTGTTTTTAAAGGGCCCAAAGTATTAAGGTATTAAAAAAGGGTGGGCCAATAGGATACATATTCGGAAATAATCTAAATGTACTTAGAATAGTTAAGGATTATGCGACGATAAATAAATGGATCGGGAATTTTTCAATAACTTCTATAGATTTAGAACTATATTTTTAATAGAAAAGTTCTAAAAAGGGTCCCCATCAGAAGTGTCTCTAATGGACATCGAAATAAAATTACCTAAAAATTAAAATTTCTACAGCATTTTGTGATTATGATTTTAAAACTTGATGTCTTCCTCCTGATGCACTTTGTTTCTCCAATAGTCATAATTCCGATTATTGCAACTTGTTGTTTCACTTCTTATCGTGTAAATTAAAAACTGAAATCCTTACTTAAATGTAGAATAAATTTCAAAAATGTATAAATTCAATTTACTTACCATGAAATTTTTGACGATGATCGTACCTGAAACGAAAAAAAAGTTTGTTAATATACAAAGCAGGAAGAAGGAAGAGACTTTGACGATACTCCAGGAATGACTACGGCGATACTCCCGGGGGTGACTTCGGCGATAAGGGAGACTGGGGCACATTCGGCACTTTTTTGAGCTTTATATCTCAGTACTTATTCCACAGATATAAACACTTCATGACTAGTTATTGTAGTCTGATACTTAGTTATAAAAATTAATACCAAAAACATGTGATTAATTAGTATTAGTTAAAAATGTTTACAGTTTTATAAAAAAAGTTAAATTCGCCGATTGTGCCCTACCCGTGATAGCTTCGGCACCATAGTCATAGCCTGGTAATTACCACCACTATCCGTCTGGTTGAAATTCAGATCTTCTAAAGGTTCTATTTTATTTACTATACTTTTCGGATATTTACTACCACATTTAGTACTTTTTAGTATTTTCCGTGCCGTCCTAGTACGGATTTCCAAAAACCTAGCCTTATCTGACACCTTTGAACCAAGAGTGACCCTCACCCTACATTTCAACATTCTAGCTTCAAAATACTCGGTATAGAGTTATTACTTCAGGTTCGTCCGTCCATCCATTAGAACCGATCGTAACGAAAAAGCGAATGGTAATTATGGGTTCATATTTTGGGGATAAAATTGACGAAAATTAGGGATGCAATTATGATCTGAACACCATGGATCTTCCTAATGAATAAGCATGGTTTTTGGATCATGATCGGTCAGGTCAACATTTAGTGGATCAAATGGACCTAGACTTTTTAGAATGATAAAAATTTCATTTATTTAGGGTATAATCTAGAAAGACATAATCCGTAGAACCTCCAACGTTGTTTAGCTATCTCGGAATCTGTATAATCGTTAATGTCGACAAATGACAATTGTTAAATTAAGATTAGGTTATTTTTTTAACGGACCCATATGGTAATTTGTAAATTTAAAATACAATTATGTTAACATTTAGAAAAATAACTCCAGTCTGGTGATCATCAGTCGAGTCCCTTGTGACTTCCGTCCAAAATAACTTATCTTTATCACAAGTTACTGAGTGAGTCAACACGTCATCCAACTTTATTTATTCACACTCACACAAAAATCTTGACTATAAATGCTGAATAATCAACAAAAAAAAAAACAAAGTGATAAACAAAATAGGGGAAAAACAAACCCAGCATGCCATCCATACGCAAGCTTGTCAGTCGTTCAGACGACTCCTGCCTCCTCACAAGTCAAACTCATGCTTAGCGCATGTTGGCATAGGCACGCTCATCACAACACACAACACATACAAACTCACACTTTTAACTGACTTATCTAAGAAGAAGAAAACTCCAGAGGAAAGTGTTATGTAAACACCATAACCAATTCCCTATGGACAACAACAAGAACACAATTCTTCTTATGACCAACAATCCATCATATTGTCCTTCGTCCTCTATTTAAAATTCTTATCAATTCATTTTTGAAAAATAATTTTTAATATTCTCACGTGTCCACAAAACAATATCAACTTCCGTGGGAAAGATCTCTTGAAAATGATATTTGATTTCCATTGTTAAGGAATTTCGTTTTCATTTTTTCTTTTTTGTTTTCAGGTTAGTTTAGATTTTCAGATAACAAGCATACATGTCCCAATTGCTGTATAGTCACATCCTTTGAAAAGGAAAACCAGCCAACCAACCAACAACAACTACAGACAACCATAATCACCTGAATGGCAGTAGTGGCAGTAGTTTACATTGTTGATTGTCGGCTATTGTTTCACTTATCTTTTCTGAAATAGAAATGATTTTATTTTTAAAGAGCAATTCCCACGCTCTAAAGGATACTCAAGCAAGGATATTATTTTTGAGAACGACAAGGACAGACACCCAAAGGTTTCCTTTTTCTGAATGACTTAAAAACTGGTATTTTTCCAAATACCTGTAGAGCATAATTTGACTCCCCCAGCAGAGTTGTGATGGTGTTGGTAGCAGAGAGTATAAAAGGATCTAGGCAGCAAGGATAAGGCATCATTCTCATTTGAGCATTCAACTAGTTAACAACACTTCAGACATTCCTTCTAACAAAACGAAAATAAATATCAACATGTTTGTAGACAACAGCAGCAACAAAAACAACAAAATGGAAATCATCCCTAAAAAATTTGCCGTCTCCTCGTACAGCGTCAAGAAACTAATGAAACAGCTCTTCAAACAACACAAATCCAAGCACTCACAACAACAACAATTGGGTCAACTTAAAAAATCGGAATCATTCTTTGAAGCACTAGAGTCATTGGAAAATCAATGCAATGCCAAATTGGAATTGGAAGCCTTCGCCATGGAAACTGAGGAGAACAACCTAAACGAACGCCTAGCGGCCAAACAGAAATCCTACGAATTGGAAGATTACGATTTTAGTCAAATCACTGTTGCCGTTCCAGTGCACTTTGCACGCACCAACCAAGGCACTTTCTTTTGGACCACCAGTTCGGATATACCATCAGATAATGATTTGGTGCAACCCATGAGCTGTTCTACCAACAATCAATTGCCAAGCAGTATGTGAGAGGTGGGAGATAACCAATCCAAATCGAAATCGTGTGCATTCCTTCCGTTCCCGTCTTCCAATGAATTTTATTATCAATGCCTTAATGATGCCTCCAAGGCCACACAAACACAAGCGCGTACACTCACATACACACACACAGTTCCTGCTTCCTGCCTTCCAAGAAGCCTGTTATCTGTGCTTTGAACCTGACTTCTAATGTCTTCCAAAATGGGTTCATTTATTTTCCTCAGAATTTTTTGTAGAGGAAAATAAAATGAGCCTTAGAGAACTATTATCTTAGATAGCTTTATTTATAAATAAAAATTTTGTGATATTATTTAGTGAAATTTATATAAATATATATTTTTAATTTATAACTAAATTATTTAAACAAATATAAAACTTTAAAAAAAAGTATTATTTTTCTATTAATAGAATGGGTTTAACAGAATTTAAATGCATGGGAGGGGTTAATCTATAAAATATCAGTGGAAGGTATTACCGAGGCAAGTAAGGACTTCTTAATGCATGGATTTTTTTAAAGAATGTTTTTTTAAGGACTTCCCAATTCGTGGATTTTTTTAAAGAATATTTTTTAAGGCTTTTCTAAGGCGTGGATTTTTTAAGGAATATTTTTTGAGAGAATTCCCAAGGCGTGGATTTTTTAAAGATTATTTTTGTAAGGACTTCCCAAGGCGATTTTTTTTAATATTATTTTTGTAAGGACTTCCCAAGGCGATTTTTTTTAATATTATTTTTTTAAAAACTTTCCAAGGCGAAGATTTTTTTGATAATATTTTTTTAAGGACTTTTCAAGGCGTAAATATTTTTTTTTAGGATATTTTTTGAAGGACTTTCCAAGGCTTGTATTTTTTAAAGAATATTTTTTCAAGGACTTCACAATAGAGATCACAATATTTAAGATAGAAATATGAAATTTTACCTATTGAAAAAAATATATATCGGTCCACTTTTGCGTATAGTCCCATAGAAAACAATATTAGGTATTTTTGACATTTTTTCAACTGAATTGGCTGTAATTGATTTTCATTAGGTGGTCCACATTAGGTCCACATTTTAGGATAGCCCCCATATTCAATATTTTTACCCGAATTGACTTAAATTTGTTTATAATGGGGTGTCAAATCTAAAACTAATCACTAAATTACCCTGATGGAGGTAGAACAAGCATCATCATCATCATTGGTATCCCGAAAAGCTTGTACGGAAGTTTCAGACGAATTATGGTTTCTAGGGGGAGAACTACGCCTAACATCCTGGTTATAATCCAATTTTGAAGAATTGAATCATCATTCAATCAGTGTTTGAAGTACTAATGCTCCACTATATTCCAATAGGAAGCAGAAATGTAAAAACAGACCTAAGACTTCAATCCATAGAAACCATTCTCTTGTCAAATACAAATAATATATGCAAAACTCTATTAATCTTAGAACGTCTTCGGAAAAGTTTTTCACAGGATCGAATTGTTTCACATGAACTCAATCTTGTAGATATAAGACAAACCAAAATTTACTACCACCACTCTACATTGTTATTATGCAAGATCTACTACATATTTTCGAAAGAATAGTTTTCTGTATAAAACCTTAAGCTGGTCTTCTATTCTTCCACTTTATATTTTCGCTAGTAGACCTACAGTCTAGAGGAATTGTATCCTATAAACACATGTTTGATGACCTTTTGGAGTGGTTGGGACCAAAACACGTCAATTGAAAAAATCCCTGACCTTCCACCGAAGTGTGTATTACACATGTGTTTTTAGCAACATAATTTCACTAATACACTATTTATAGAGCAAAGTTGCCTTTCATCTCAAAATAGAGAACAGTTATGACGATAACCACATATGAAAAAAATTTTGAGAGGGAAATTCTATGTTAAGAGGAAATAATCTATGGGATTTTGAGTTTGTAGAATCCGTTTGATGTAGTATCAATTTTGGAAAGTTGCCATCGTATTTACTGACTTACGATGCGGTCCATTGGTGTGGCGAAGTAGCATTTATTTCTTCATTAAATTCATACTTAGCAGTATAGGTATAGCTAGCTTGTGGATGTGTGCGTGTAAATAAATTCGAGTTTTTAGCGAAGACGCACACCACCATTGGTGTTGCGGCCAGTATAACATGAATCATGAATATGGAAGTAACAAGTCGAGCCATTGTGCGTAAACGGGTGAGAATGAGTGTCTTTTCCATATACCGTTGGAAAGGACTTTCAGAAAATGTATCGGGTATGGCTCTAAATATATTAAAAATGTCCCTATACATTCCCATAAAAAAAATATATATAAGAAACATATATAGTCAAATGACGGGACACACTGTACGAAAACTGGTGGGAGTGAGTCACTTTTTGCATATACTGTTGGAAGGGAAAGAGTTCTCAGGAAATGTATCGAATATGGACCTAAATATAAAAAAATATCCATATACAATCTTTTAAGAAAAATACATAAGAAACATATATAGTAAAATGTCGAAGCCCACTGTGCGAAAAAGGTGGGGGTGAGTCATTTTTACAAATACCGTTGGAAAGGACATTGAAAGGACCCTCAGGAAATGTATCGGGTATGGATCTAAATATATTAAAAATATCCATATACGGTCCCTTAAGAAACATACATAGTAAAATGTCGGGGCCCACTGTGCGAAAACGGGTGGGAGTGAGTCACTTTTTCATATACCGTTGGAATGGACATTGAATGGGCTTTCAAGAAACGCATCGGGTAACAAAAAAGGGCTTTCAGGAAATGTATTTAAATTTATTTTCACACATTTTAGAAGATCGGCCATAGCCACCGTAGTCGCTGCAGTCTGACTAGTTTTATGTCGTGGTTCATTCGACGTCCACATTCACCGTCGACGCAGATCGGTTCATAGATCCTTTTGAGAATGTTTCTCTTAAAAACTCCAAACTTCTCCTTCTTCTGCTTGTGCAAATGCCCATGCTTCAGATCCATACACCAGCACGGGTAGTATCAGCGCCTGGTGGAGTGTGAGTTTGGCCTGGCGAGAGGTGGCCTTATTTCTAAATTGCTTACTTATACCAAAGTAGCATCTGTTGGCCGACACTATCCTTTTTCAAATCTAAACACTGATGTCATTTGTTTTATTTGTGGCGGTACCGAGATAGATGATATTTCTGACTACCTCAAATTCATTGACCGTTCTTTAAGGTAGTCATTGAAAAATATTCCTTGAGGATGCCGCGTTGTCCTGTAAGATTTTGAATTTTTTTCGGAAAGGATCTATTATTGATCCATTTTTCTAAATATGGGGTCAGTTTATATTTTAAGGGTGCATTAAAAATCAATTTGTGATTTTGATTAATAATTTTGTTGGTATAGCATAACAAGGATGTAGATTTTGTTTGTGACCTAGAAAGGACCTCTTCTGTACATACAATTTTGCCCCCATTATAAAAATACCTTAAACTCTCATCTACTTTCGTAAATTACCGTGTAGCTACTCAAATGGTATGAAATGTAGCCTTCTCTTAAAAATTTCCTCTCCTCCTCCATGAACGCCATCTAGCCTACCTTTAAACAACTAGCATCACATGTGCCTATTAGCTAAGACTCAAACTGAACTCGGGTTCAAACCCAACACCACATGACCTACATGATGCCTTCCTCTTCTCAATAAATTGATCAAATATATTTTCTCCCTAATGCGAGGCTATACCTCACAATTTCTCCCAAATAATAAAAAATGCAAATATATTTTTAATTATAAAATATTTATTTTAAAAATATATATTTACTTAAAATTATATTGCCTATAAATTGTTTCTGTTTTTTCTATTTCTAAAAATATTTTCTATTAAATATCACAATAATAATTTAATTTTAAAGCTATTCAAAAATTCATCGATGCTTCGTAGACAATTTTCGGCATAACAAAATTACGTATGCCATTGAAAAATTGCATGAAACTGAATAAATGGAAGACGACCTGTGGACGGCGGTGCAGCTGGAACACAGTTTCCATGCTTCTTATACAACTAAGAAACTGGAACTGTTAGATAAGTTGGGAGTGAGTTTCTTCTTTTTCGCTTTTTTAGACCTCAGTCCAACGACTTTGCTGATAGGCCAATTGATTGTTGGTGGAACAGCTCATGGGTTGTACCAAATCATTATCGGCTGGGATTTCACTATTCGAAGTCCAAAAGAAGGTACCATGTTCGGTGCGTACAAAGTGCACTGGGACATCGACACTCAAATCGGAAAAATCAAAATCTTCAACTTCACAGGATTGATTAATGACCCATGGATGAGCGGTTGGTTCTTCAACTTCGTAGGATTGAGTGAAGGCCAAGGGTTCAGGAATTTGTACTTCTTTCGGTTCGGGGATTTCCTCTTCTTGCTTCTCTAAACTTGAGTTTTGCTGCACAAAATTCAAATTGATTTCCGCTGTGTTGTTGCAATTGCTATCCAAGAAATTGCCCTCCTTAATGTAATCCTCGTCCTTTTGTAGTTGTGTTAGTTTTTGTGATTTATTTTTGAAAATTTGTTTCAACAGCTTCTTAATGCTGTAGGACAACATTTTCTTGCTGGCAGTGGTGGCATCCAATTTCTCGAATTGTTGACTGTTATTGATTTGAAGACACATTTTGGTATTTGAGTTGGTTCGTTTCGGTTTTTTTTGGTTGTTTTCTCCAGGAAGGTTGTTAAGGGAATGCTGTCTTATTCCTGGCTCTGCTTGGCCTTTTATACTCTCAGCCATCACAGCCAGATATTCCTGGCACAAAAGGTAAGGCAACACACAATAAAAAAAAATTAATATCTTCAATGGCCAGGTAAGTAATCACAACAGTTAGTATTTTTGTTGTTGTAATTCTTTTGGGATACCAAAAACAATAGCAAAAGGAACCCTAGTTATTGTCCTAATGACTAGTAGAAAATGACAAAAAACATGTTCCTCCGTTTTTTTGTTGTTGTTGTTCCTGTGTATCGGTATTTGGAAAATGGAACAAGTAGCATTTCCAAGATAAAATTTTATAGTTATTGAATAATAATAACAACAACCACCACGGCCATCCGTAACCACTAATAGTTACCATCCTATCATTTGTTGACTAATATGTTTACCTTATGATGGGAAAATTCCTGACTTTATGACATCCACAAAAAGGGACGAATACGTACAACAACAACACATCGATCGTTCACTATTTACAGAGCGCGGTTATTTTTGTCTGCCACAATCCTAAATCACTCGACTTTATGCTCGATTTGAAACACCAAACAAACCATAAAAGTGGATTTTAATTGCTGTCACTTTAGGGTATATGTTTTTCTGTTTGTTGGTATTGAAGATAAGTTACGCAAAATATTTTCAAAATTTCGAAATCATTATTTGAATAGGAGTCATAAAATAGGAAATAAAATTTTCAAATTCCTAACGCCATTGCAATGAGTATGCAGCTATATTGATTTTAGGACCGTAAACATAAGATTACTCATTCGGACTTATCAGCGTCATATCATTAATATTTTGAAATCTCCAGACGACACGTCTACATTTGGATTATAGAATTCTGGTAGAAGTCATATATCAGTAGAAGGTATCTTATCTGAAAATTTATAAATTATAGTATCAAACAAATGGAAAAGATGTCGGATTCGGTGTGGAACAGCATATCGAATATTAAGATGAATTTCTTAAAAAATATTCTTCAAGGACGACCATAAAGCGTGGATTTTTTAAAGAATATTTTTCAAGGACCAACAGACCATCAAGCGTGGATTTTTTTAAAGAATATTTTTCAAGGACCAACAGACCATCAAGCGTGGATTTTTAAAGGAACATTGTCACAACGGCAACTGGAAAGATAAAAAGGTCTTAAAATGGGATCGTTGGAACCTATAGACTAAAAAGGAGCCTCCACTTTCGAACTTAATCTAAGTAAATAAATATAATGCTCAGGTTATTGTTTCAGGGAGTCCATACATGATACTTGGAATTCTGTATGGGAATAGAAGGTCTTCAGAGGACCAACTCATTATATTAGACCACTATATGACTTCTTGGCGTGTCTACTATTTACTGCGGAACGTATTTTGTACTAAAAATGTCTTGAAGAGCAAATCTGAATTATAAAAAAGGATTCTGACTGTAAATTAAATTATTTTACGCATTCTGGTAGCACTCCGTCTCTTGAAAAATTTGGTTCTGGAATACATATAGCATAATGCAATCTAAAGCTGCTTTGTATTTTCTAAGGAACTACCTGCCAAGTTATTATGTCCACTCTACGTTTCCGCGGCAGTAAGCAGGGACACGGCTTACAGCAACACCACAATGACTAACATGGAACACAAACATGTTGTCCTCACGGATTGCACCAAGGGCACAAAGGACCGCGGCAGCGGACAACCCAAATTCAACAAAACTGTCCTCACGGCCAGCCTTCACGACATCCACACAACGTGGGTCATGAAGACCCACGATGAACAGCAACCATTTTACTCCTCGCCAACCACCGCACCAACACCCACCTCCACCAAACAACTAAACCTTCCTGCAAGGGGGATAGGCACGAAGACCACCTCCACTAAGTACTCTCCTTTTCCTAAACGCTTCAAGAGCAACAACCGTCCCTCCATTCGATATACCCATATTTGCTAAATCTCTAATATATTCATAGTAACAGCTTGCAGTTGGCTGTGTGTATATGCTTCCAGTCTTCAGTCATCCCACACCCATATAAATCCGTCTGGGTCAGGCCTCAATTATGCAAAAACGCATTAAGAAAACCATACCCCGTGAATAAAAAACCCATATAAATCCGTCTGGGTCAGGCCTCAATTATGCAAAAACGCATTAAAAGCACCATACCCCGTGAATTAGAAACCAGTAATTAAGCCGAAACGAAAGTCTGGCCGGTCCAACACGAACGTATCGTCACGAATAAAATCTGTATGTCATCATCTTTTTGTCAGTATCCGGCCACCTAGTTCCCCACCTATCATCCTCACACTCCCGAAGGATAGTGCTGTACCGCCCAATATCCCCATCCACCAGATCAGAAGGCCTGAGCTAATCCGCCTCATCCAACTGCAAGCCACATTTAAGCTTATACTTGATAGCCCTCCATCTCATCTCAAGATGGCACGGCGCCAAGAAGCACTTGTAATGCCTCTGTGGAAACAGTGCAACACACTGGCTAACATGACGACCCGCTGACACAAAATGAGCTCTTCTGACCTAAGACAGTCAAGGCAGCTTTGTAATAAATAAACCACCATATATAGCAGACACACACAGCACACATACTCATGCCCCAATCGGTCCGCAAGACACGATTGATGGTCCCAACGACCGTTGGCAGCTTCTCCTTCAACCGATCGAAGTGAGCAAGAAAATTCAACCGCTCGGACACCGTTATTCCGAGATACTTAACTGCAATCGAATGCCGTATGTCGCGTTCACCAGCTCGAATGAAGGGATAATGGATGTGTGCCAACCTAGCTTTCAGTGGCACCAGCATTGTTTTCACGGTTGTCACCTCCACTCCAACTCAGTCACTCCGGGCCTGCACAATCTGCATAGCTTGCACACCACGATTTTCCAACTCAAGACGACTATTCCCTCCAATCATGATGAGCAAGACGTCTGCATACACACAAACATTGAAGGAGGAAGCAGCTAGCTTTCGCAGTAGAAGACCCATCACACAAATGGAATCCTGTGGGCAACCACGCTGCACATTCCTCCAGACCGAAGCACTGACGACACAAGCCTTCCTATCTCGGAAATAACTCGCTCAAAGAGCAATCTCACTGCACCCGATCTCAGACAACCCTGTGAGTACGCTATTACATAAAAGGAAGTCAAATGCACCTTTAAAATACACAAATAGGCCAAGGACATATTTGACCTTCTATTTATTTATTAGAACATCGGAAAAATATTTGAAATGACCTTTTCTAATTAGAATAATTACTCCCACCATAAAGGTAATACAATTCGAGTACAGCAGCTAGGGAAATCATTGTCCAATTAGAATCGATCGACATTTTCCAATTGGACAATACTCTAATGTTTCCAATTACCAGAATAAGAGTGAGAGATTTTCCACCTACAATATGCTGGATAATTCATTATTTTTCCAATTTTCCCGTTCTCCCAAATAAATAAATAAGACATTTCAAAAAATTATGTTTTTAAATAGTTGTTTTGTATTTTTTGTATAAATATTTCTTTTTTAAACAATAAAATTAAAAATTACTAAAAATAATATCACAATAATTTAGTTATAGTTTTTTTAAAGCTTTTTTTCAGAAAAGGTTTCATGATAAATTTTCATTGAAAATGAACAGAAACCGTTTGAAGTAATGGAAGACATTTTTGTAGCGGGAAGGCACAGATTAACAGGCTTCAAATGGGGCAGGAGTAGGAAGCAGGAACTGTTGCTGATGATGAGGACAAATTTAGGCTTGAGCCCAACGATCTTGCATGCAGCTAGGCAATTGATTGTAGGTGGAGCAGCTCATGGGTTGAACCAAATCATTGTCGGCTGGTATATCTGAACTGGTGGTCCAAAAGAAAGTACCTTCAGCGGTGCGAATGAAGTGAACTGGTACGACAGCATTGATTTCACTGAAATCGTAATCTTCAATTTCATAGGACAACTGCTTGGCCGAGAGACGTTCATTGATGTCATTTTCATAGGATTCCATTGAGGCAGATTCATATTCAAGATGGGCATTGCATTGATTTTCCAAAGATTCAAGAGATTCCAAGGATTCAGCCTTCTTGGTGTTTTCCATGTTTTGAAGTTGAACCAATTTTTGGGATTTGTGTTGTTTGAAAAGTTGTTTCAGCAACTTTTTGATGCTATAGGAAGCGGTGAATTTTTTGTTGTTGCTGGCGATGATTTCCATTTTGTTGTTGTTGTTGATTTCTACGCACATTTTTGCTGGTTTGTGTAAAGGAATGTTGAACTGTTTGTTTGAATGCTCAAGTGAGTCTGATGTCTTATCCTTGCTACCCTGGGCCTTTTATAGTGGCCAAGCAACAGATGAATGGTGGTTGTTTTCTTTGGCTCTCACTCTCCCTGTCTCTCTCTCTCTGAGTTTTGAGTTTCTCCCCCTTTTGTGTTGTTTGTGTAAAGGAAGTCGAGTTCTGTGCTTGTGCATTCATAAGCAGGTCTTAAATAAAATACCAGCACTTAAGTCTTTGCCATGGTGTAAGGGTATGTCTGTCTGTCGGTCCGTCCGTCCGCCCTAAGTCACCGAGTGTGGGAACATTTTTAAGGATACATCGTTTGCTTAACAATATCCCCTAGCTGAGTTTGTGCACGCTGGAAAAAGTCCATACATAAAAAATGGCAGGTGTGTTTTGAAAATTTCCAAACCTGCCTGCAGGTGGAACAAGGATAGCTGCTATGGGAGGACTACTTGCTCTTGTTGAACAGGCCTGGACTGCCATAAGGGAATATAAATGTAAAATAAACAGAATTTTTTATCCTTTGTAAGGATCGTGAGAAACCAACATTTCTTTGAGTTCCCACACTTTGGTTAATGGACGGACGGACGAACTGAAGGACAGACATTCAAAAAGGATCCTTGCTTTGGTTCAATTCAAGTGTATGACTGGCTGTGGTATCCTGGCAGTTTCTTTAATGATCACTTGGATCTTGGATAATAACCTAGTTTGTTGTTGGTTCGGTTTGGAACGAACTCGATCGTATTACTGGGTATTATCATCATTGTCGTTCATCGTAATCTTTAAAAAGATCCTCCCATTCATTGAACACGTGTGCATTTACAATTCCTGTATTTTTTCTGGGATCGTGGGAGAAAAAATTCTCAGTTTAGTTTTTTTGTGTCTTTGACAAGAAATGAATTCTTCACGCTTCAATCTTAGACAATTAGTTTGAAGATCCAACAATGTTAAGGAATGCCTTTCAAACTCTTTCCCAGGCCCGACCAAAGGCAAAGCAAATAGACACGTGTGCTGAAAAGACTTCTGAAGACCTAAAAGTGTTTAGTAATTTCAAAAAAGGCCACTACTGTTTTATTTTCTTATTACTTTGCCTCTGAGGCAGAGGGGGAGGAGGTTAAGACAACAATGCACTCAACCATAACTACATATCATACATGGCTGTCTGTTCCCGCAAGCCGAGCGCATTTGAATTGTTCTTTAAGAACGTGGGAAAGAAATTTCTTTAAGAACTCTAAGTACAACAAAACCAAGACGAACAACAACTACATGCCATGACTTTAAATTATGTAGAGAGGGGTAACCAATAAAAATTTTGGGTGTAACGAAATTTTGTAGAAGAAAGCCGACCGGTAAACAATGACAAATGCCTTCAAATTATCATGGAAACCAAGCAATGAAAATTAAATCAAAATAAAAAAAAAGAAAACAAAGGGAGCTCGAAAAATTTCCCAGAGTTTTGATTGCCTCTTTAGTTTAAAAAAAAAAACCAACAACAACATCATCAAGCAGTGGAGAATTTATGATGATCCCATGGAAAGGATAATAAACAAGAGATCATTAATGCCTTCCGAAGAACTTGTGACCAACACATTCCAATGCAATTAGCACAAGCGTAGCTTACTTTCACTTCGATTCCAAATTTGGAGATAACCTCTCAATGAATGAATCATCACTGGAAAGAACAAAGTTATCATTGTTGTTGTTTAGAATTTTTGTTTTATTTTTTAGCTCTCATTGTCGTAGGCCAAACACGGGTCAGTATTTTTATTTTTTTTTCGGAAAGACTTACTGATAAGAGTGATCATTAATGAATCACAGACCCGTATCTGTCATTCTCTCGTGGTGTCTAGACACAGGTTATTTTTGGCTAATTTGGTCACAAGTAAAGTGAAAATGAAAACTTATCTGTTGTTGTTTTTTGTCTTCTTAATGGATTCTTCCGGCTTCTGGTGAAAGTGAAAAATTAGGGGGGATTTTCGTTCGACAGGTATAGGTAATAATGGTTATTGATTGATACAGTAGCCAATTAGTTGTAGACAACACTTCGATAGGTCGATGGAAATGGAAAGTCAATTGTGACCTTGACATATTCCTTAAGTGAGGTCAGGTCGCCCTCATTTTTTAGAAAGAAAAGTAGCTGGAGGAATTTTAGGCAGATATTACCCTAAATGAAGATAACCTTCTAAGTGGCCTATTAAGAATTTTCGGAAGTATGTTGTCCACAGAAAAATACGGATATTAAGGGAATATTCTAGACACACATAACTTTGTGAAAATTGACGTAAAGAAGACTACCTGAGATCTTATAGGTAAATCTGCTGTTCACAGAAGAAATTTGCAAGGCTTTACAAGAAATTAGAAGACTGAAAGAGCCTGAAAGATCGTTGGGTGGTGATGGGAGACGGTTTGGAAATTGGCACGAGAGGTATTGGTTTCAGCAACAGTTTTTCATCTTCATTTGAAGGTTATTCCATTTTGGAGAACCTGCAGCTATTAGTTCAAATGGAAGTAGTTTCGACTATAAAAACGTGCAGAGATTAGTCTGTGGGGGACCTATACCCGAACTAGCAGACTTGGAGAGAAATTACATGGTGGCTACCAATGTCGTATGTGGTGGTGGTCACTTGTGCTTTTCATCCCCTTTCAGCGATTGTTTCACCGTATAAAGCCTGCAAATATTAGTTTAATTTGGGGTTCTACTGGTAATAGCTTCGGATATGAACCTGACCGAAGATTTCGGTAGTACGGGTGTCAGGGCCCTTGGTCTGCGGATCTAGCCTGGCAGTTGGTGTTGGCGCTTCGGTGAGCATCTTGCTGGAGGTGGTTTATACCCCAATCGCGGGTAGAGCTTTGGCTCGGTGTCGAGTTGCAATACAACCGGCTGCCTGACCCATAGAAAGGCACGATTTTTAAATACCCATCTAAGGAGGTGATCACGTCCAAATACGTGTGGTCGATTGGTACCAGAATTTTGTTTGGTGTGGGGGCGTTGGTTGACGCTTTCTTTTAACTGGTGTTTCCTGCACCGTGGGATAAGACCGCAAGGTAGGTACCCACGAACTCTAAGCATCTCTACATGTAGAAGCCGTACAGAAGGATTTCAACAGATTACAAACAATCCCAGATTTATAAACGAAGTTTCGGGATAGTTTGTTTACTGACCGAATAAAGAACAATCTGAAGATTTCCTAAAGACATTCTTGTCAAAATTTTTCAGGATTTTTCCAAAATCTTTATCCATTCATCTGAAGGTCTGTAAGAGATGTTGATTATATTTTCAAGATCTTTGGAATTTAATCTGGAAGAAAAGTTCTTTAGAACGAGTGTACAGAACTTTTTGATACGATTTAATAATACGAATTTTTTCAAGAGTTACTATATAGGGCATTGAACTCCAGAAGAAAATTCTTCGGAAGGTTTTGTGCCTATAGAAGACATCCTACATATCCTCTGACTGTAGAAGCCCTTTGACCATTCTAGGCACTCCGGGAGTTCTCTGTCTCTCTAGGAGCTTTTGTAGATATATTTTTTATTCTATATCTTCACAGGAATGACCTTCTGGATTTTTCAAAAGTAGTCATTTTGGCATTAGGGACAAAACTAATGGACTTTCTGATGGCATTTTTGTGAGTATATCTGTTTAAGGTATTCTTGAAAATCGGAAGATATTCATTCTTCTTGTAGAGGAATTCTAACCATTAAGGGTGTCCAAAAGACATTCGATGTTATTAATTGGATAATATTCTGATAAGTATTGATGTAGTATTGAGGACTTTCTTCTCCTTTTTTGGATACAACTACATATGTTTTTCTAAATAATTCGGACGAATCCGACAGTTCTTCATAATAAAGAATTTATACTGAATTTATGAACAATTGGGAAAAATCCATTAAAATTGTAAATATAATAAAAAACCAGTGAGCGGAGCAGTATAGTCGGACGGGGCCGACCATACGATACCCTACACAACTACCACGGAACTGAAATTTTTTGCGGATGTTTATTCCGAGCCTGGGCAATATTTCGTGCCCGATTAAAGGTAAACAGCACCTCACAGTGACATATTTTCCGAATACTTCGAGTATTAAGTACAGCTATTGTCCAGATTCCAGATTCCTTCGGCTTTCATTTGTGGTCTATAGATCGACTCGAAAATAACACAAAAAATAAGTTTTCGGTCCACTTCATTCCAAAATTATTATCTGATCATCACAGAAAATTATAGGCGTTGTCCTTGACCATAACTGGTACCTCATGGAACATTTCAAAGCGATCAGCGCTATATTTCCGCTCTCCAGTATGGTAATGGGTTACTAAATAATATACGTATACGGAGATACCTGTAAATATTTGGGTGTAACTCCCACATCCGAGCACATACAACAATATAATTGGTATTAAGTTAAAGGTCAATCACTCCTCTCGAACATACTATTAACTTCTCGGGTCTAGGTCCTTCATAGGCAAATATATACGCTATAGAATACAAATTTTGTCATTTTTCACACAAAAGCCAGTGTCCATTTGACCCGCTAAATATTGACCGAACTTTATGAAAACAGGCATGCTTATTCTTTGGCCCGACCCCCTTCTCCATGCAAAATTTCAAGATGTTCGAGCCAATATTGCGGCCTCTGGAGCCACCAGAAAAACCGACAAAAATTTAGTATTTGGTCCATTTCATCCCCTAAATATTAACCGATCTTTCCCAAAAACAATAGGGGTCTTCATTGGCCAGAACCCATCCTACATGCAAAATTTCGTGAAGATTGGTCCATAACTGTGGCCTGTATCGTGTTTACAAATTATAATGGACAGACGGACGGACGGATGGACGGACACACATGTCTAGATCGACTCCGCTAGTCGAGATATGACGATCGGTATACTTAAAGGTGGGTCTACGACCAATATTTCGCGGCGTTACAAACTTTTGGGGCTGCACAAAGCTATAATACCCTGACAAC